TAGTAAAAAAATATACTTCGAACATAAAAAGAATACTAAAAATTGTCATTTCAATTCGCTTCAATCTCTAAAAGCCATAAAATCTTTTAAATCTCGAATTTATTCGTTAAAAAACAAAATCATAACTAACCAATTTAAAATCCAGAACAGTGGCAATAAATTAAACATTATTGTGGACAAGTAAGCGAGAGTGTCGTATTGTTTACCGCCACAACACGAGAGAACGCGTCGAATACTAATTCTGAGGGGTTCGTTCCCGGGTTAGGCAAATAATGGGGATCCATCTAAAGGTGGTGTTTAATTAAATCAGAACATCTTGTGTTGACTATGATTGGTATGGACCGGCTTCCAGAAATTTCATATTGAATCTGTCAATCTGAAGGGAATTTGTACTCGGGTTAGTGAATAATGGTTTACAATAGAATTTGAATAAAAATTGAGTATTGTTATGTACTGAGTTTGAATTTTGAGCTAGTTGCTTGTCTTTATTTGTTGAACAATTGGGTGGGATGCTTGGAGCAAGATTTCATGATCGTTGCGTCAAAAATCTTTGGTAAACACTACATAAGTATAAAACAATATAACTTAAATGTTATACAACCTTTTTAACTTATAACTTTATGTATGCTTCAATCTTTAAAACTACACAACCAATTTTGATAGATACAGTTATTGAAGAGGAAGGTTTATATGTACAATAACATCCAATAAATTGTGAAGAAATTTAGTATGGGCATTGCAACCGTGCAAAAAGGGCCACGGGTGCAGATCGCTAGTATACACATTAAACGATTTAGAAAGAGCAGCCTCTAGTAAAAAATCTTAAATATTTACAAAAATAAATAAAATTCTTTTGAGTAGTATCCATAACGTTGACTATTACATCACCCTTCAACTCAACACAGCAAAACGCCTTCACGACATCAATATTTGGAACGTCCCAAACTTACCTCAATTAGCCGGTAAGGCTGCGAACAGACAGGCGGCCGTTAATACGGAGGGGACACGACATAATTCCGGCCAGGTAAAAGTATTATCCCCTAAACAATATTAGGAACGTGACGGGAATGTTACACCAATTGACTTATTGCCTCACGTGTGATACTTACGAGGTACCTTCTACGTTAGTAGCTTTTGTTCCTTCTCAATGAGTTGTTGTTGTTTTGCTAAAAAAAGTATACGCTGACGCAATGGTTGTATCCTTGTAAGGCATAGTTCGTAGTAATTTTTTCATTGAACTCATTTTTTGTCTTCAATTTAAGCATAAAATCAACAAAATGTTGAGTAACCCGTACAATGCATGTGAATACGACGTTCATTTGAATTTTAAAAGCGAATATTATTTCAGCCAAAATTTTCCACCGAATATTCTGTACTACGTGGCAGCGGACTATAGAAAAAAATAACCAGAAACCGAAAAGAATCTTCGGAATATTCAGTATTTCCTGGCACAATGTTATCGTTGAATAAAAATACCTTTCCGTAAAAAACCTCTTGCGAATTTTCATCAGAATCGACAATAAACCGAGGTAAACTGGGGTGCCGAACTAAAAACGAGTACCTAGAAACAATTTTCGTATCTTCCCTTTAAAACCCGCGTCATATATTCCTAACACACGACACCCTATTTCCCGGGGCACCTATCTTCGAAACCGCAAGCTTTCAATAGCGGCGCCGCGAGATGTGTACATTTTTTTCTTATAGAGATACGTACAATTTACGACTATTTTCCGTAGTTCGTATATCTAGAGATGGGAGACTATCGTAGTACGCGTTTCACGTAATAGGTACCCAAACGCGTAGCGGATATTCAATGTTCCGTGTGTCGCCTTCGATCTTCGATCAAGGCTGTCTTGTGTTACGTACGCACTGAAGTGCTGAACATATTCGGTTCGTGAAATGTTTATTTATTTACATGATGAAAGGGGAATATGGTAAACAGAAATATTTTAACATACAGCAATCTAAAATAACAAATAATAATATCGAAAGAATATTTTGTAAGACTACGAGCATATGGCAACATTTTCCCACCTCACTTTGAAAAAATGAGTTTTAAATACCTTCTTTAGCAACCTACTCATCTCGATTAATGCAATAAATGAACTGACATCTTATCATAACATATAAATAATTAACTAAAATTTAGAAATTGTTAGCCATTTCAGTGAAAGAAATAAAAAATAAAAAACACCATATAAAACAAAAAACGAAAAGTGAACTACTAAAACACGTGGCTTAAAAAATATATTCCAATTCTGGTCATCCGAAAAATGGTCGGACAACTTGGGCACGGGGCCACCAGTGGGCACAGGACTTAAGTCCCGCGACACATATTGCGGGCGTGACGCGAAATATCGAGCAGTCGAGCAATACATACAACACTCGGATGTGCTCGTGAATTCCGAATTAGGTTTGATTATTGTGAAGAAGCGATAGCGCACGTATTAGCCACCCCCCGTGTTTACCGTCTTCATGCTCGCTCCAATTCTATTACACTGTTTCGTTTGGATAAATTCATTTTTAAACACTATTTTTTTATTTATAAGACGTTGAATTGTCACCGCGTAGTTGCATCGTAATGCTTTCATTTAATTTAATTTTATGGTATAGGTTGGCGAAAAAGCAAACGACGGAATTACCTGATGGTAAGCAATCAACGCCACCCAAGAACACCCGCAACGCCTAAGGAATTACGAGTGCGTTAACCTTAGCCTTTTAGGGATAAGGGTATTGGATATTTAAGGATTGGGGAGGGATGGGGAAGGGGGAGGGATTGGGCTCTCACTTACACGTCGAAATACAACAGTGTGGTTGTTCCTTTATCATCATCTTAAAATAAATCCTCAAAAACCAACATCAATGTTTAAACTCCAAAAGTACATCCTTGTACAAAAAGCTACTACAAAACTGTGTACATAATCCATACATCGATTACAAAGTTTGCAACTACCGCTCGAGGTAGCGACGCGCACTTGCGGAATATCAAACATAGGGTACCTAGACTACCTAGGTCTCTTTGTTTCCTTCCAGTCACGTGTGCCAGCCTTTATCTGCTCTGTCATGAACATGTTAGCCTTTCGTGTGAGTTACCAACAATTTCAATACGAAATGTATTGGAAAATTCTAGAAGTTATTGTTATAACAATATGACATGTGCATTTGCGTACTGTCATAGATTTGTATATTTTGTTGTTCAATTGTTATAAAGAATTTTCTCATTGGATGAATATTGTTGTGTAATTAAATTATACATTGTATTAGAAAAAAAAAAAGACGAAAAAAATCGTGATGAAATCTGAACTTATGATTCCATATTATAAACTTGAAATCGCCTATCCTTGAGCTAGCGTGGTGATAAATGCTTAAACTTTCTCCATATTCGAAGATTCTTTTGCTCAACAGTGGACACTTCAGGCTGATGATGGGATTCATGCAAAAACTTGATCTTCTTTTATTCTTTTTCGAACTGAGGAGGCGTTTGGTTCCTGAATTTGAAAATGCAAACCTATTATTGCTCAACTCTTGGCGTTTATGACATGTTAAAAAAAACAACCTTAAGGGAGCTTTCTCCCTTAGGAGAAAAGGCCTCCGCTCAGCAGTGGACACTTATAGGCTGATTTATAAGTATATTTTGTTATAATTTATTATTAATAATCTGAATTAAAAATAATCTCTACAAGTAAATACAAGGAGCTTCACAGGGATTAAATTAAGTATACATAAGAGATTACATTAACGACTATACTAGTATGATACGTTATGTTTCGCCGTGTGAGTGCGGGGTTACCGGAGGCCAAAACTTTCCCCTGAAACCTCTAACAACCCACCCAAGGGCGGCAACACACTTGTTAACAGCTTTAGCATTACAATTGACTGCACGGTTCGTGCGGTGGCTGGGCAACTGGCTGCCGCGCCAGTTCCGTGCGGGAATCAAACACACGACAAGTTGAAAAGCCGCCCGTTTCACGGCCACCGTGTACTATGTAGTCAAGTACTTAATACGATTATAAAATCGACATATACTCAAGACTTAAAACTTTAAAGGTTAGAAATCTCCAGTTTTAAACGTTACATAAAATCATGTCAATTGAAGCATATACATAGGTACATACACACCTAACATTTCTTATCACTCGTTGACAGATGAAGAAATGTTGAATTCTTGTGATAATGTTCTTTGTTTTTTCTCAACTTTTTATCTTGAATATTTATTATATCTAAACAAAGACTGATAAGTGTTGGTCTCAAACGAATTGAAGCAATTTCTTGAAATCTTTTAAATCAAAAACATATTTAGGTGTCGTGGCGTGATGTGACGCACGTGAAATAAATCAGCTTCATACATTTAATCTTATAGACCCACTTGTGTGTGCCGCATTAGGTGACACTCCAGGCGTTGGGGATCGAGCGACGATCTTCAGGGGTAGCTGGCCGTCCGACCAGATCCAGACCCGAGCGTCCCGCGCGCGCCTTAATGAGCCAATGGACCACCACAGATGTCGCCCAAGAAATCCGATGTTCAGCTAGAGTTGCATTATCCAACAGTCTTACCTTCAAGTGATGCAGAGAACTGTAAATAGTCGTTGCAAGAAGCAATTAATGTTTAATTTTACTGATTTAATGGCAATGTGCCTAATTATGTCCCTAACCATAATTTGTGAAACAGATATGCGTCGTCACGACACATAAGTATGTTTTCATCTTAGGTTTTACACTCCTTGTTGGCTAAAAATACATAAAAAAATAGCCAAGCATAGTTTCAGAAAAGGTAAAATTTTATATCGAATACAATTCACAGTATCCGAGTTAATAAATTCGTAATGACTAATATATATAATAACCTCCAATAAGAACTATGACGTCGAAATTGCGCCAATTAAATCGATTTTACTAGACAACAATAAAGACAATAGCGATTACTCGATTATTCCACAGTAACAGTATAAATTTGAAATCGTTACACTATCTCAGGTTATGGATAACCTCTTACAGTTCAATGTTATGACGTCACTCACGTTATGTGATATAAGAACGGTAACTGGTGCTCGCGACTCAGTAATTGAACTGAAAACAGCGACATTACATCAGCTTTATACCGTAAGTAGATACCAATTTGTTCTTTTTTTAATTTTAAAATGTTCTTGTTTTATTGGTGCCACGAGTAATTATATATTCATACTTTTTTTCGTCACAGTATTTTCGTTTATTTTAAATTATAATCAAAAATAATTTCTTTTTTTTTATTTTACTATTTATTAAATTTTTACACATCTCCATTTCTTTTTTAATGAAACTTCTTATGAAAAACTATTTCGAATTTTTATTTAGCATTTGAATATAGTTAGTTACTCGTGGCAATTTGAACTCTATTGACTTTATAATTAACATTATTTAGTCTTGTTTTCCTCAGATAATGATGAAATCTACGAGTAATACTCGTAGAGCTTGTGCGGGATCAGAGACGACTGGTACAAGGCGAACATTTGAGCCCAAGCAAGCAGTGAGGTGATTGTTTAGTTGTAAGACTTAGAAGTGTATTATGTACTTAGGCATCTGTATGTGAAACTGATTTAATTCGTCAAACCCGTAGCAATATATTAGCGCACCTATTGTTCTACTGTTTCTCGATAAGAGTTACCTTGTAGTTAGTAGTTATGCCTGCATGCTGTGATTTCCTATAATTAAGGAAACAAGAAAAATAAATTATATTATTATATTGTATTTCTTGTTGAAAATCCAAATAAATAAATAATATTAACCAATACAAAAATAATGGAGTTCCTTGCTCGTTCTTGTCCATCGAAGTTTGCACTTTGGAAAGAGCAAATAGCTTCACTAAGAGGACAGACCGACAGACTTTTACCTAAAGTTTTTTTGGTATTAAAAATGCGCGTAAAGTACATCTAAGTGTTTAATTGAAATAAGTGATTTTGATTCAAGATTATTTACAATATTAATACAAAAAAAACTTTATTTCGGGTGCAAATCAGATTAAAATCAAGCAAAATTAATCTCTTTGGTATACGAGAAAAACATTCAAAATTTGTAACTGATCTTAATCTAAAATCTAAGGATTGATTTTGTCAGACACTTTATAGAGCGAATGCTACATGAATCTAAAGATTTTGGGTTTAGAAAGTATATGGTTATCGCCTAAATTATTATTTTTTATACTAAATATAAGAACTTAGACGATTATAATGGAACTAATTATTTAAAGTTTCTACTCCTTCGCTTTATTCAATCATCATCAGCAAAAGTAATACAATTTTCTAATTAATTAAAACGTGCTCATCTCCGAAACTACTGGTTCGAATAGAGTCATTATTTTTGTGTTGATAGTCTATTAGCTATTAGCGTAAAATTTAGGTTACAAAACATCACGCTATAACAAATACCGGCGATCGATATTCGATAATAGCTAATTCTTGTAAAAAATAATGATGAAATTACTTGCTCAGACGGCACGGATTTAAGGATGAAAAACATATTTTTCACAATGTTATTCATAACTTAGGTAAGTATCGAGACTTGGTAAGGAATTAAGAGGCTTAATCTATACTAAAATTATAAAGAGGTAAAATTTGTAAGTTTGTATGTAGGGGGTAATGTTTGAATTAAATGGTTGGATTTCCAAAAATCTTTCACTGATAGATAGCTACAATATTCCTGAGTGCAATAGGCTATAAAACTTTTCAGTACGATTAAATGGAGCCGAGCAGCGGGTGAAACCGCGCGAGAGTAGCTAGTTCAATAATATATACATTGATATTTTATACCGTCTCGATTTATAGGAAAGACCTTGGCAATAAGGATATGGTCCTAGTTGAAAATGGACTTTCTGATTTCAATTCGATCATAATACTAATTAAATTATAAAAAAACTCACGTTATTTTATTTTTAAATGTGTGTAATGTTCTTTTATATAAGACGTTTAAATATTTATGAGCTCTGCGATAAAACAATTGACGATAAGGACAATTGACACAAAGCGGTTGGCTGCTAATGATGATGAAACATCATCTATACTAATATTATAAAGAGGTACAATTTGTAAGTTTGTTTGTCAGGGTTATTCTTAGGAACTGCTGGTCGGATTTCAGAAATTCTTTCACTGATAAGTAGCTACAAAGTTCCTGAGTGCTATAGGCTGTAAAACATCACCCTACGACTACTAGAGAGAGCCGAGTAGCGGGTGAACCGCGTCGCAGTAGGTAGTGCATGATAATTCTTCAAAGTATATAAACGTGTACATACAGACCCAATTTTTTCGTTCGGTTCGAATCCGACCCAAAACCTTGAAAGTACAGAGAAAACACGGAATGAATTCGAATAGTCCTTGAAAAAATCGGATGACGGATAACGGACAGAGTGCGTAAACTGCCACAGAAATACATATATATTATTACTATTTCGAAGACTGTTATGGATCATAATTTCACGGTTCTGGATCAGCTCTGGATTGGACGTAATGTTAAAGCGCTCTTAGAAATAGTATATCTAGTAGGTTAGTCAACGTCAAAGTCAAATTATATACACGCTGAAACTTTTCTAATATTTAAAATGGAATACTTTACTCGATATTTCTTATAGATCTATTTTAGATATTTCAAAAGGGTCAACTTGTAAGTATTACAGTCTGTACATTAATAAAGATGCAATACTTCAGTAACTAAATATAAATAATAATAAATAATAGTCATAGTATAGTAATAGTAACTGGACTAAACCCGTCGATAGGTACCGGGCCCATTAGTTAAATTCTAAATTTAAAAAAAACAAGAAATCCTAATTGTAATAGTAGAACTTGTGTTCATTCAGCTAAAGATATAAGAAAAATTTAATAAAAAAAATCGCAGCACGCGTTCCAATCACGAGAAAACAGAAAAACATAGTACTCAGTCAAACGTCCATTCAGCTGAAGATGAACGAAATATTACGAAAACGAACTACAAAATAGATAAAGACATATCATAAACGAAACAACTATGTTATCATATTTCTCTTTCAACATCACATGTTTATTAAGAGATTTTTTGGAATTTAATAAAAGCTACGACCAACATTATAAAAGTAATCTTTTTTGTCTTTATTGTTTGAGCGTTAAGGTCGTTTATTGCGAAATTTTAAGACAATACCGAGGACAATATTGTTTTTTTTTTTATTTTCTTATTATAAAGTGACACATCAACGCGAGTATGTAGTTTAAAGTCAGTAAAAAGTTGATTACATTTTGAACAAGAAAATTCAGGTTATAATTTTATTATTAATCAATTCATAATCTATAGTACTTATAATTTATTTAAAAAAAGACATTGCCTGACACTACGATTTTCTTCTGTGACGTGGGTGCGTGACACCCTCCCGTGAAGTCACACTAATCGTGGGCATTTTTTGTAATAGGCAATTTTGTAAGGGGTAAACCATCTAATGACTTTCTAACGGGAGTGTCAGACTCTCTCTGACTAAAAATCACCGAGATCCTTCTCATGCTCCAGGGCGGGGCCACGGTGCCTTATATATAAGCATCTGCCTAAAGGGGAAGGTGATGTCGCCACAGCGTCTCTCTAGCCACTCCTTAAAGAGGTTTTATCGCTGCTAGAACGGTGTACTCTTTGTTCTAGCAGCGTTTATAATAGGCCTAGTGCGACCAAGTCACGTTATTAAATCGCAATACTGCACGCAATAAAAAATAAATAAAAAAAATAAGCAATTAAATATAAAACCTCTTTACCTGTATCATGACGAAGTATAGACTATACTTATTTAAATGAGATAGACTTCCTAGACGCGTAACCTTGTGCTTGTAAACCATACCTACTTTTCAATCGAATGAATTATGAAAATGTAGTACAAACAACATTGTAAAGGTACTATACAAGGTGATTGAAACAATTAGAAGAAATTATAGCTAATCACGATTATCTATAAATATCTCTAGAGTATTGTAAACTGACTTAGTAATATTGTTCATTGTTTACACTTTAGTTCATTTATAGTTAGTTTATTTGAAAAATTAGTCCCTTATTTTATTGTGTATCATCCTTTAGCTGACTGGTTGAGAAAGTATTTAGTTAGTTCAACGCTATTTGCTTATACACAAAGTGTAAAATAGAATAAATTATAACAGTTTTTGTTGGTAATGTCGACGCATCTGTGCCGTTCATATGTGAATAACAGAATAAGCCTATGGCATTGAGCCTTCTTGTATATAAATGTTATGTGCACGGAGTTCTAAATAAATGGTTTGTTGAATACTGATATCATTATGTGTTGTGTAGTAATTATTAAATATTTTATTGAATTAGAATATTTTAACGTAGTTATTAAAACTGGTGTTTTTAATAAAATTATATGTTTTTTATCACTATCACTTGTGTGAATAATGAGTGGGAATTCCGATTCTGAGGATTCGATGCTCAGGTTCTACGAGGTATCATTTTTTTTTTGTAATAAAACGGCATTGAGTAATTGTGTTTCGTATACTTATTTTATACATGTTTAAGTAACTACAGATGTTAAGAAATATCTAAATGATTTGTTTTGCATTTTTTGAAAATAAATATTTCCCTATATAAGGATTTTATTGTTTCATGGGTGTGTATAAAAATATACAATTTCACAATTTTGTGGATTACACAAACAACGACTTTACTATGTCTTCCCAAAAATGATACAACACTGGTTAAAAATATTTAAACATCTTTTTATGTTTTTAGGCAACAGACATTAATGATACCATGGAAAGCGCAAACCATAAAAATGACAAAACAGCAGCAACACTCGACGAAGCTATGCTGCTTTCAGGTAACATATTCAATAAATTACTTCCTTAAAATAAATAAAAACCTAAAGCAACTTCTAACGATAATAATTTACAAATATCAATAATAAAGATTGCAGTAGTATTGATAACCACAATACAATACACGTACATATAAAGAAAATCGAATCTCTGAATTAAAATAAAATAGCTTACAAAGAAGAAATCATATGATTAATTCATCTAATCCCAAGCGAACGCGTTCGCGCTCCTATTGTTCTTCTATTATTTCTCGAATCAGCACGATTGAAAGGTTAAACCAAGTGATTAAAAAAGAACCATCTACCATTGACACAGAACTCAAAATACTCCTTCATTCTCTCAGGGTTTGGGATCTACAATATTCTACACATGCTGATGACTGGTCTGATACTGATGGGAATGATCATGCACTGCTTAGTCCTGGGTTATGTGATACCAGCAGCACAATGTGACCTGGAGCTCACATCGCAACAAAAAGGATGGCTGTCTGCACTGCCGTTTACAGGTCTATATTTGTATTTCATAATAATTATCTAATACCGAAATAAACGAGCAATTCTTGATACTTACATATTGTTGCCCCATACTAGGACTTTTTAATAGGCAAGCATTTGGCATCTATCACGCCTGGTGGTAAGCCATAATGCCACTTATGATGGAGCACGCCTACCCATAAGCGACTTATTTTCTTGTTTGTCGTGGGTATGTTTAGATACAATGTTTACAAACATACAATTTCAGATAATTGCTTTCAATGGCGATATAACCACTGGTTGTATCCTCTTTGGTTGCTTTAGTTAGTATCATAAGATAATTTAAAAATATTTTAATCCTTAATCCTTATTTATGCATTTTTATATTTATTTAGTTAATCCTTATTTGCGTAAAGCTAACTATGTAATTACTACTTTTGCGATAATTATCACTTTACTTTTTTACATTTCAGCCATAATACTAACGTCGTATTTCTGGGGATGGTTAGCTGATACCAAAGGCAGGAGAACAGCTATGCTTGGATCTATGTTTCTGGCTGTTGTCATAAGTGCAATATCTAGTTTTGCGCCCAACCTGACATCGTTTGGTGTATTACAATTCGTTTCAGCTATCTTGTGAGTATTTCAATTGTCAGTTGTGTCATAATTTTCTATTTTCTCATCTCCTTTTTTATATATTTTATTATTTTTTTATATTTTTAGATTAAAAATGAAATGAGGCAATAGTTAAAACAAATAAATGGCATAGGTATTTTTTTGTTTTTTTTTTTAATTATATCATTTATAGCCATTTGAATAATAACTTGTACTTTCACTGAGTTAAATAGTTTTACTTTTTATTTTTTGTTAAAAACATTGCCCCATACTCGGATTTCCACCTGTTTGTTTGTGTGAGTGTATTTATTTACAAACATACAATTTCACAAACAAATTACACCCAGACCCAAAAAAACAATTAGTGGAACACACAAAGAGTTGTTCCGTTCACAGGAATGGAACCCGCGACACGTTGCGCCGTTTACCATGCCAACCGTTCAGTCTAAAATCGCAAGGTTATTATAATATCCAATAACTTTTTCATTTTCTATCATTTATATTTAGCCATATAAAAAATAAATACTTTCACTCGTTTACATAGTTCTTACAGTCTAGTGTAGAATTCGAATTTTGTTAATGCTTTTTGTCTTTGACATTCAGTATGACAGGTCCATCTGCAGTAGTGTATACTTTTCTTGGAGAGTTCCACAATTTACGCCATAGAGACAAGATGGTCACTTTTGGATCCGCCTTCATTGGAATCGGTACTGTAGTCCTACCATGTAAGTTGATAAAAGAAAATATTTAAAATTTTCCCAGTATGACTTAAATATTTTGATAGTGCTAACATAATTCTAACACTGAACCCTTCTTCAAAGAGCCTAAACATGTGTCAATAACACCAAAGTAACGAATCCAAAATCAAAAATAAATTTAAATTTTTGTCTTTTCTTTTTTATATGATAGCACAGCAAACGAGCATACGAATTACCTGATGGTAAGCAATCAGCGCCGCCCTTAGAGATCCGCAACAACGAAAGGGTTACGAGTGCGTTGCCGACCTTTTTGGGATTAGAGTTTGGGGTTTTAGGAATTGGGGAGGGATTGGAAGATGGTAAGGATTGGGCCTCCGATAACCTCACTCATACGGCGAAACACAATGCTGTGGTTGTTTCAACTCGGTTTTCTTTGCGGCCGTGATAATACTCCGGTCGAGCTGACCCAGTCGTGCCGAAGCATGGCTTTCCGACACTCGTTCCAAATAGGTCACAATACACATGTAACTTTAATTCTCCATTCCAGGTCTGTCATGGCTGATTTTACCGCTAAACTTCTCCTACTACATAGAGTATTTGGACATTTATTACCGGCCCTGGAGATTACTGGTTGTGGCCTGCACCATCCCATTTGCCCTTGCCACAGTTTTTCTCTTCTTCGCACCAGAAAGTCCTAAGTTTCTCTATTCTAGTGGACGCCATGAAGAGTGTTTGGAAGTGTTGAAGATAATCTACTCGGCGAACAACTTCAAACCTAAAGATAGTTTCACTGTAAGTATAATTATCATGCTCAGCAAAATATTTAATAGGCTTCACTGAAATAAATGTTTTGGTAGCGACTATTAAAGAACATCTTCACAGTCGTTGAAGTGATTTACAGTATCAAGTTATTTATATACATCACGTGTATAATTTGAGTAAGAATAAATTAAATCTGAATAACTTTATAAACTTACTCAAAACTCAAGATTAAATTTTATACTATTTCCATAATTGTATAAAATTTGCAAAGTTGAGGCACATTCGATTTTATAAATAAGTGCTTTTAACATTACAATTAAAGGTAAATTGTAAACTCTTCTTTAAGGTGAAGTCACTGATTATGGAGAATCAAGTCACGAACTTGAACAAAGGGAAAGCAGGTATAACCGGCGTGCTAGCTTCTATGAAGGAACAAACTTTTCCAATCTTCAAACCACCACTTCTTCCCTGGATCTGTCTCACCTGCTTCGTTCAATTTGGAATATTTTCTGCGTAAGAAGATACTATAAATATTAACATAAATTATTTCAAAGTTTACTTTTTTTAATTCAAGACAACAAACTAACTACTTACTTCATTTGAGTAATAACCTAAACTCGAGTTTTATTTGTAAGTTTTATTTTCAACGCTAACGCAATTGGTTGAATGGTTCATATGCAATATTTATTAAAATATGCCTTTTTATTATATACTAGGACTGCCCCTGCTTCGCACGGATATCCGACTACCCCGGTGTCAGTAATTTGTTTTGCAAGTGTACGGCCACAGCACCGAAAGGGTTGTTTATTCCTGATATTCCCCTTTACTTTTATAAAGTTTTCTGTCGTAAGAACCTTCTCCTGACAATAATAAATACAAAACAAAAAGATTTGTCAAAATTGGTCCAGGCGTTTTTGAGTTATGCGCTTACCAACACATTTTGCGATCCATTTTTATATATAAGATAATAAATACCTTTTGCTCACAATACAAAAAACATGTTCACTGTTAATTTGAAACAAAGATAAGCATCATGTAATGCAGTTATAAAAAATATTTGATTGAAACGGAATTCTTAGGAAGGACTAATCACATGAATGACCTTGACTATGTCTCTATCTAAATGTTTCCATATTGTTTTAGAACAAACGGCTTCTACATTTGGTTCCCGACAATTCTAAATGCATTGGGTAGCCAAGACAGTGTAAACATGAAAATTTGTGACGTCATCGAGTTGACAAGAGCCAAAGCTGCAGCTGATGCTTTAAACAGTACTACGGTTGGTAAAATTTTATCATTGCCTTCAAAATAGTATTTTGATCTTGTTACAAATAGCCTAGTAAGTTCACTGTTCCCTAACATATTTACCAGACAATGAATTAAATCTTCGACGCCAAGACCCAAAGAAAAGCCAAAATTTACTGAGATTTTCGTTTCTCTATTTTCTCGACTTGTTGTGTTGCAAACTATAATATTAAGTACAATATTGAAATATTACCTACTTACATTTATATTCTGCCCCGTTATATGTTCAACTTGAGCTTATTAAAACAAACATTTTGGATTAGAAAAAGTCAATCCATTTCACAATCCTATTCACTAAAACTTTATGCTGTTTTCTTCATTGCAGATCATCTGTGACGACACAATCTACACCTCAACATTCGAGCGCTCCATCTATGTTGGACTCGTCTTCTGTTCCATGTACCTTATTGTAGCAGTTCTAGTTGATTTTGTCGGCAAGAAATATATCCTAGTCGTGACCTTGACCATTACTGGTGTCTGTGCCATCAGTGCCAACTTGGTGTACGACCAGCAAATAGCTGTGGTACTGTTTGCCATCTTCCAAATGTCTGGTGCCTGTGTTGGGCTGACAAATGCTGTTGCTGTTCAATTGTTTCCTACAAAATATAGGTATGTTGCATTTGTTTTACAAATAGAGTACCTTTTTTCTTCATAATACCGTCTGCTACAATAATTAAACTATAAATGTATAAAATAAGGCATAGGAACAAAGTCGTCTTTCAATACTCTATCCTTATCCATATTAAAAATTGTATAACTAGTATTATGACTCTCAATACGTTTGTTTTTTGGGATAAATTCCATAAATATAAAAACTTTATATACATTCAGTTAAGGTTTATATTTCTTTACGCAGGGGTATGGCGGTCTGTCTATCAATGATGTCGGGACGTACCGGTTCTATGGTTGGATCATATCTGATTGGTTTATTCCTGGACATAAATTGTGGAGCTGGGTTTTATCTGTTTGGAAGTCTACTTGTTGGTGCGTATAACTTTAATGGTCCTGGTTTTCGTTTCATTTATGATTTTGATAAATCTTAAATAAATGTATTTTTTTGTTTTTTTTTTTTTGCTCTTATCCTCGACTAGTTAGAGTCCTTTCCTCTTACTGTCTCCCACGAAGTGTCATTTAATAATTTTTCAAAGTAATTCTATCCGAGCCTTATCCTTTGAGATATTATCAGTCAGTCAGAGTTCGAACTCTTTGAACCACGTCGATGCTGATAAAACATTATCATGTTCATTTGTTTTATTTTTACAGTGAATGGCTTAACCTGTCTTACCCTCCCAAATATGAAGAAAGAAAAAGTTCCTAAAACAATCACAAATGAAACAAAAGAAACTCAAGAACCTTAGTCAGAAGATATTATTGTCGGAGATAAAAACATGACAGAGGCGGTCATTGAAAGAAAGAAATGAGAAGAGTAGACAGTTTATTTAGAAAAGAGTTTTTATTGTTTGCTTTGAGGATGATCTCGAAAGGTAGTCCCCCCCTCTCCCTACCTCGGAGTAGGTAGTATAAGATGTGAAATCAAAGTCGAATGTCGAAGTCTGAAATATGCATGATAAATCATAAAATGTATCAGTTATCTCTGTATAGGTATAAAATCAATTTAGGGCAAAACAAAAGACACTAAACTTTAAATTTGTAATTATTTTTCAAATGATCCACATTAATCTTTTAATTGAATAATATATTTTACTTTATAATTTCCTAACTTACTTTGAGACTTTGACAGAAACCAACTAGTAAACATATTTAATTCCAATTACAGTTCGAACTTTTTTATTTACTCCACACATATGAAAATACAATACATTATTTTACCAACTACAACATTTAGAAATCGAATAAAAATGAAAAAAGTTGTAACAAAAGACATTTTCTCTCATCGATAACAATACCATTGCGAACGATTGGATCGGTCTCCATTAGAAATATTGAAGTTATAACGGGTTACGTGACGAACCGGTACGTTGTGCCGTCTGAAGACATTCTACACAGGTGTCTTGTCTCAAAAGAACGTGAAAATGTAATAAGGTATCGTGTTTATAAATATTTAACGTTTTTATAGCATATTGTTGGTAAGTAATGTGAGTTAGGGAGGATTTTTAACAGTTTTTCTTGTTTTTATCGAATGGTTCGTTTTTTTGTTTCTAATTCAAACGAGCAGATTACTTGAACAGATGGTAAGCAGTCGACACAGCACATGGATACTCGCAACACCAAAGGGGCAACGAGTACTTTGCCAGCCTGTTGAGCATGAAGGTTTCGGATTTTTAAGGATTGGGCCTCCGGTAACCTCGCTTACACAGCGTAATTCAACGCCTTAAAATAACTATTTATTTTATGACACTTTGTTACATGCCCGTTATGTATGTACATACAGTAACATCGCCACCATGTCATACGCCGAATGCACATAATCATATATGTGATGCTAGTGTCGAGAATACTGCCATTAAAAAAAAGTATAATGTCAGATTATTTGTTACCAGCACTAACAACCATCATACTAATGAAATAAGGTTCATAATTACTTGTTTTATAGTATATTCTAATTTTAATATCAGAGCGCTTATTTCAACTAAGCATCTAAGTTTTATTAAAACAATATACGTAACAAACATCCATGCTGCGTAATCCCGGTTTAATTTCCCGTCACGATCCTCGCCGGTGAACCATGCACTTTCTACAAGTATATTGGTTTTCTCAACAAAAACACATTTATCTTTATTTTTGTTCACTCAAGAACTGCTCATAGGATTTGCATAAACTATTCATTTTGATTTCAGTTTATTTGTAAACTATGTACTTGCAAATGGACGACTCGAAGGGGTTTAAAAGCATTATGCTGAAGGAGTATTTTCTTTTTATTTTGTTTATTCTACCCGACTTGTTTGTTTTTCGTTGAGTCAGCGAAATGGGTTGTTGATGGGGATTGGTAGCTATAGTAAATGTAGACAACCTTAAGAAAACACAAACCAACGTAAGCTTTAAAGGATTAACGGTACTTATTTTTATAACATTTATTCTAAACATAGTTAACATAGTTTCAGTTTTTTTTATATCTAAACTGCAGTTTTTGCTTATCCCCTGGTAGTTTTTCCATAAAATTGATTTAGCCATCACAGCGTTGTACAAGCGCAAAATATCCTATGCATTCCGAAGTGATTCGATAACTGGCCCGTCGCGTCGACCCCTCCTATATGTAATTTTATGGATGTTACACTCTGGGCTGCGCCTTATCTAGTTTGGTCACCCTCACAACCATAACGCAGACTAAAAAAATGATATAGAAAAAAAATTGACGCGCTGATAATAGCGCAGTTTTTTATAAATATTTAGCTACACTGTGCGTATTTAACATGGCGTCTAGGGGAGCCTGGAATCTGATTTGGCGGCAGCCTCGGGCGCAGGAAAAGCGCTTAATTGCCGTCGAGTAGGTATCAAGGATACGACCAATGGGACGGGCCGCGTATATTGAATAAACTCACCTTTAGTGACTTCGTACCAGGTGGATATACCCCACCATTAATCGAGCCGTTTAGAAATGGGAAGTGTATTTGATTAGTCTACATGACAGGAAAATTTGATTTCAAGCTATACTAAAATTGTTTATATATCTAAATTAAATTTAAATTTGGATTAGCTGGTTCTAAGATCGCCTTCAAGTCTTCAAATAAAAACAAAAAGCCAATTACTACAAGATATTATTTTAACTTGCAACGCGTGCATAAATGGAGTCTTGAAACTAAGTTCATCGGACATCTATAATGGATTGAGTTACAATTTCGTAAACACGTTTAATATTTATGACCATGAATATAGCTTTATTCTAAATCCATAAAAAACTTCAAAGTTCAATGCCAGGACCTATTGAGACACTTTCAAAAAGTACGTTTTAATAAAAAAATCCTCTTTTTCGTTTGAATGAACAACGAACCTCATTAGACGTGAAACCTCAATCGAACACAACCAGGAATGAGCAACACAACAAATACGACTTTACCGGGAAAATATTTAAATATGGAATTGAAGCGATTTCAAACACACAACAATGTTGTGGTCAACGGTAGCGTTAACCGTTACTAATATGGCGGAACGGTAAACCGCGTCAATTATGTCCCAATTTACGCATTTAAAATTCATGAAGGGTAAACCGATTTAAAGGTTTATAGTGTGTGCTGAAACGAAATTTACTTATCTTTACTACCCACTTCTCCTATAAGGAGATGCAAGGGGAAACCAAGATTACCTTACGATATCAGCATTAACTGTAACTATGTCGTTAATTTGCACAACTTACTATTATACTAGTTAATTGTTTTTTTTTTTTTAATATTGTCAACCATATTGCAAAATAGTTGTGAATTTATTAACGTCCCATTATTCCCATTAAGACTTGTAGAGATTTTCTCACTCAATGCACTTGATTATTCGATTATTATTAGTAAATTTGACATTTCTAAATTAATTTATGTACCAATTTTCTTTGACATTTCATTTCTTAAACTTGTTTAAAAAAATATTTTTTAATAATATATACATCTATTTGTTTGTCTTACCATAGGTAAAACATACCGCACTGTATTTATGTATTAGATTTTAATGTCTTTCTTACCGTTTTATAATGATTATGATTGAAGTAAATCATTATATTCAATAACTTTTTTGTCACACAACTATTCAAAAATATGTGTGAATATACACCGAATTTAACTTATTTATTGACGCCGTATATTAAGACCACTTCAATGCAATTAATACACAAAAAAGTTTAAATTTCGAAACATCTTATACTCCTTTCACGACAGAACGACAACACTGTTCAGTACATTTACCCCAGTATCTACAAGACAAACGATGCAGTAGCTAGCAATATGTTAACAGCGCCATTAACAAACTATATGCTTGCAACACCTCATACAGTGTCTTGTATCATAAAATAACATTGGCCGTATATTGCAGGGTCAAAACAATTACCGCAACTATCGAAGAACAAACAAATCAGCGACAATTGTCTGTTGTTTACTCCATACAAACATACGAACAGAGCGTCGGAAACCGCAACAATTTGGGGCTACACCGAATGTTTGCTTAGATAACTGCAATATTTATCATGCAGCCCAAAACAACCTTATATTCTAAATCATAGAGGTCTATTTCGAATGTTTTGTGACATAGTTTAAATGGGTTTTAAATGTAGACGACCCGAATTTACAAGCGGGACAACAGAACAAGTTTGGTCTTTTCGAGATACAATCTTTCTGTGTGCCTTGTTCAAAATATTGTTTTTGATTATACTATGGCTGAAATATATTCTAGAGCAGGTTTGATATTTTAGTTTTAGTATTAGTTTTTCGGTTAAACTAAAATAATATTGGTAAACTTAAAACAAATATTGTTGCCCAAATATTTGAAGTAGATCCAACATTATGGATGATCACGATAGAATGAAAAAAAATTTAGTTGAAAATATTTTTGTATTAAAACGTCTGTAGTGTCTCTTTAAAGTTCAAATCGGACAAATTGCCAAAGTATTTAAATTAGATACATTTATTTTGTTGTTACTTCGTAAATATGTTTTTATCTAATAAACAGTTCCAGCCAGAAACAGATGATAATAAAAATTATGATGTACCATTTTTTTTTAATTCCATTACTACCATTTTTTTTAATACTACTAAAATTGCATAATTCTCTTATAACCACAAAATACTGAAGGGAGTTACGATAGGCGGGTTAATTTTTAGGGCTGTGTAATTTATGGCGCTCATGTCACTAACACCTGCAATGTGAGGCGGCACCTGCCGGTGTGCGCGACACCCCTGATCAATGGCGATGCTGAACGGCTTCCAGCGTATCGTATATTCTGAAAAATATTATCAAAGCTGTATTTAGAAGTTATTTATTAAATATTTCTATATTAATATATATATTTATTTATTTATTGCTTCATGCACAAGAAAATGTACACAAGGTGGACTTAATGCTTTAAGCATTCTCTGCCAGTCTGACCTTTGGGTGATGCAGAGAAGAATATCCAAGGTAGGGAAGAATATAATTAAATACACAATTTTCTTAGTTTTAAAATTGGTTTTAATATACGCAATTTTAAGGAAGGGAATTACATTGCTTCGTGGTACTGCGCGAGGAACTTTAAGTGTTGTTAATATTCCTTTTGTTACTGTAATCGGAACAAATCCGTGTAAAAAATAAATAAAATTCACTAAAAACACACAAACATTTGGCAATAAACTTACTTTAATTTCATGTATTCTGTACCCAAAACAGAAACCGATCTTGCGTTTATATACATAGCTCAATGGCCATTCTTGGAATCGCTAGCTGAACAAAAATGGGGAAACATGAAACCAACAAACAAGATATGTATCATTCCTTTGTCCAAAGTGCAAAGA